TTTTTTTCTGAAGCCGTTTCAAATACCATGGCCCCTAAATCTTCTGCATAAGTCTTTGCCGCGTCTCTGTGGCTTGCAAACAGGTTCCTCGCTGGGGTCCCAGCATGGTTCTCAGTCCTTGCTGCTGGCTTCTGAGCCTTTGCAGGCCCACTGACCACTGACCCCGTTTCAGAGTCCCCGACTGGTGGGCCGTGCCATGCCGGCTCCTAGTCTCTGTGCCGCTGTGGGTGGGCACATTATCAGTGCCTGCTGTTTAGCGCTGTGGACTTGGCCCTGCCTACGCTGTCCCCATGCACTGTGGGACACAGCTGGTCGGCTCCTGCACCTTCCCCACGGTGGGTTCCAGGTGGGTTCCTGGCTGACTCTGGGCACGTGTCAGCTGACTCCAGGGGCCTGCCTTTCCTTTTAGGTGTTTTGGGTGCTCTCCCAGCCCGTCTCTGTGGCCGCCAAGCCTGCTTGTTGCCATGTTTTCTGTCACTTTGGGGATGACTTGTGGCCTGTGCCAACACTCCTCGGCCCACGTCACCTTGTCACAGCCGCTTCCTCCTTCTTCCCTGACAGAAGCTGTCTTCAGAGAGGCCGAGCTCCGATGGGGAGGGTGTTGCAGAAAATGGCACCTCTGTGTGCAACGGAAAAGAGCAAGGTGAGTGCTGTCTGGGCTGGGCGCTCGCCAACTGAAAGTGTAGTTAAAGATGGAGCAGTGGCTCTGCTAAGGCTGCTCCAGGGTGTGTCCCGGGTGCCGTGTCCTTCCTCAGGGGCCTTCTGTCTTCCTCTTTGGTCACATAAGCCCCACATGTCTTCACGTCTCATCGTCCCAACTGTCCGCTAGGTGCGTGTCTGTGTGTGCGACCGGCCCCCCGCTCGGTCTCCATCTGCACGTGTGCGGCCGGTCCCCCACTAGATGCGTGTCTGTGTGTGTGCGGCCAGTCTCCCACTAGGTGCGTGTCTGCGTGTCTGCGGCCGGTCCCCCGCTAGGTGCGTGTCTGTGTGTGCGCGGCCGGTCCCCTGCTAGGTGCACGTCTGTGTGTGTGCGGCCGGTCCCCCGCTAGGCACATGTCTGCTCCTGTGTAAATGGCTGAGTCACAGCAGGGAGGCCTCCCATAACATACCGTGGAGCAGGGTTTGCACGGGGCAGCAGCTGGCATCTTGCTTGGAGACCTTTAGCTGGGGGGCTGCCGCCTGCCCCCAGCCCGGCTCTGCCTCCGCTTGGCCTGGGGCAGGTCCTTTCCCTCTTTGATGAACCTCAGTTTCCATATCTTTATAATGAGATGCTGGACTTAGAGATTTCAAAGTTTTTTTTTTTTTTTTTTTTTTTTTTTTTTTTTTTTTAATTGTGATTTGGGTGAAGATTTACAGAGCAAATGCACTTTCCATGCAGCAGTTCACATATACTTTGTCTCATGTCATTGACCACAATTTCCCACAATGCAACAGCTCCCCTGTTGGACTCTTCCCAGTGTCCATCGCTGCACACACTCCTGCTCCCTGAGCTGTCTGCATAAGCAGCCCTTCCTTCTCCTATTCAAAGTCCTTTTTTTAAAGTCACCTTTGTTGGTGTTAGCTCCGTGCACTCAGCCACCACCTCTCGGCGCCCGGTCCGGGCCACCCCCATCTGTTGGGGATGCCCTGCTGTCATCACGGGGTCCTCACTGGCCAATCCTTTGGGAGTGGGTCACCAGGCCTCTCTTCCTGGCATAGTCTGGAAGCACCCCTGAAGCCTGGTCTGCGCCCCAGCAGCAGGCCAGCCTCTGACAGATGGGGGTTGCACGTGACGGGCACTGGCAGGGAATCGCATCCGGGTCTCCCCCAGAAGACGAGCACGCTGCCCCCGGACCCCCGCTGCCTCACAGCCAGCGTCATGGAGCCACGACCCCGGACCCCCACTGCCTCACAGCCAGCATCACGGAGCCACGACTCACGGCCATAGAAGTGGGGTCAGTTCCGTGGGTTGTGACAAATGCCCGCACGCAGGTAACTGCCGCCACAGTCAAGGTAGAGAGCGTTTCTGTCGTCCGGTGCCACCAGCTCAGCTGTGACTCACGGCCGCCCCACGTAACCGCCACCACAGCCAAGAACTCAGCAGCCCACGTGTAACTGATGAAGGGTGCCCGTTCCTGGGCCAGCCTCACAGCTGTCGCTCTGTAAGCCCCTCGTTGCAGCCACTGTCGGTCCGTCTCCTTGTCGGCCTTCCCCTTCCTGCTGACCCCCTTTCCCAGGCCTAACGTCCTTCTCCAGGGACCGCTCCCTCCTGACATGACCCGGGTCGGGGAGAAAGAGCCTCGCATCCTTTCTTCTAAGGCCCTGGAAGCCTCCAGCCTAGTTTCCATCTCAGGGCATCGACTGTGTTTAGACCCTTCTGTAAGTGGGGTCCGAGGGATCTGCCTTGTGCGGCCGGCCTGTCTCACTCAGCGTGGTGCGTTCACTCCACCGTCCATCCGTGTCGCAACATGTACCGGCCTCGTTTCTCCAGCTGGCTGACACCTGCTGTGTGGATGGACCACACTGTGTTTAACCATCATCAGTGGATGGCGGGGGGACTTTGTGACTGTCGTTCAAGTCCCCAAGGCTTGTGACCCCATCAGGGCTGCAGCCAGGTTCGGGATGTCCCCGAGGTGGGGGAAGGCTTGTTGGAGGAGTCCTGGGTCAGAGGATGGGCGTTGGTGGCACAGTGGAGGTCCTCAGGGTGCTTCCGTCCCATTGTCCCCGGGTGCAGAGCGTGGGCCACTCTGCAGTGACACTGTCCCTTCAGGCTCTGGCCTGTCGCCTCCAGCCCCAGCTCCTACATGAGACGGCCCTGTCGGGGGATGGAGGTGAAGGACACAGGGACAGAGGGACACTCCGGGCGCTGATTCCTGTCCCTGAAATTCTGCCTGCAGGGGCTCGAGCAAGAATTCGAATGGCTGGCCTGGGCGCCTGCAGGGTGCCTGCTGCAGGGTCCTGGGGGGCCGCTGCAGAGCCGCTGGGAGGGGGCTGCGGGGGTGAGGGGTGAGAGGATCCTGAGCTGGTGGGTGGAAGTCCTGTGGACGCTGCTCGCAACAGCCCTGGTCCTGCCCAATGTGGGCGCGTGAGAGAAGCCAGGACCTGTTTTCATGCATGCGCCTTGTGGATTTCATACACTGGTGTTCGAGCGGTGGCTGAGCCCAGGCAGGCTGATGGAACAGAACGGGCTGAGGCTCTGGGACTGGGCGGTGGCTCCGGACAGGGCTAACTCCACGAGTGTTTAAGCCACGGGCCGGAGAGGACCCGGTCACCCTCCCCCGTCTGATTCCCTGCCCCTCATCAGCTGGCTCTAGCTGCACCAGCCTTCTGTGCTGTCGCCTGGGGCGTCCGTAACCAAGGACCACCAGGAGGGGGTGTGTGAGAACAGTGCACTGTAAGAACAGAAGGTCACTGAGCATGTGTGCACCTGTGTGTGCACCTGTGTATGTGTGTGCACACGTGCACCTTTGTATGTGTCTGTCCCTGTGTACATGTGTGTGCGTATGTATACCTGTGTGTGCCTATGTGTGTACCTATATGTGCATGTGTGTACCTGTGTATATTGTGTGTACCCGTGTATATTGTGTGCATGTGTGTACCTGTGTGTATCGTGCATATTGCATGTGCATGTGTGTGCCCACGTATGTTGCATGTGTAAAGCTGTGTATATGTGTGTGTGCCTGTGTATATGTGTGCGTGTGTGTCCCAGACCAGGGGGTCAGCCCTGTTGAGTTCTTCTGGGCTCTGAGAGAGACTGTCGCTGCCGCTCTCGGGCATCCGGTGGCCCTGGGCATTCCTGGGCTGCAGCTGCAGCTGCAGTGTCACATGGTGTCCTGCCTGTCTCCCCGTCTCTGTCTTTTCTCCTCTTTATAACACACCACTCAGGGGACTTAGGACCCACCCTGCCCCTGTGGGACCTCGTGTTAACTTAGCTGATTCCCCTGCAAAGACCGTTTCCAAACCAGATCACACTCACAGGTACGGGGTCAGGACTTGAGCACAGCCTTCTAGGGACACCATTCAACCAACAGCACCTTCCTTCCAGTCTCGAACATGCCAGGTTCCTTCCAGGTGGGCCTCAGCTTCTGTCCTTCCTGCCTGGATGGCCTTCCTGCTGACGGCGGCACAGCTACCGGCTCACTGTTTTGCTCCCAGCTAAAGGCAGCCCCAGAGAGGCTTCCGCTGCAGAGTGGAGGCCACCCATGACACCCTGTGACCCTCTCCTACTGTGTGTGTATATGTATATGCGTGCACCTGTGTATATGTGTGTGCATGCGTGCACCTGTGTATATGTGTATGCATGCGTGTGTCTTCACCCTGCTCCAGGATGGAGGCCTCCTGCAGACGGCCTGTTTCCTCGTGTGACCCTCTTCCCTATTGTGCAGGCATGTGTGTACCTGTGTATGTGTGTGTAGCTGTGTATATGTGTGCATGTTGTACCTGTGTGTGTGCCTGTGTGTGTACCTATGTGCAGGTGTATGCCTGTATGTATTGTATGTACCCATGTGTATTTTATGTGCATGTGTGTATCTGTGTGTGTATAGCTGTTTATGTGTGTGCATGTTTGTACCTGTGTATGTGTATGTATGCCTATGTGTGTAGGTGTATGTCTGTGTATATTGTGTGTACTCATGTGTATTGTGTGTGTGTGTACCTGTGTGTGTCCGTGTTCCTGCATATGTATGTATCATGTACATTGCATGTGCATTTCTGTACCCATGTATTTTGTGTGTATACCTATGTATGTGGGTGTACCTGTGTATGTGGGTGTACCTGTGTATGTGTACTGAGTGCACGTGTATGGATGTGTGTGCCTGTGTTTGGGTGTATGACTGTGTGTGCATATGTGTACCTGTGTATGTTGTGTGTGCATGCCCATGTATATTGTGTGTCTGTGTGTGTACTGTGTGCATGTGTGTGGCTGTGTGTGCATGTGTGTGCATGTGTATATTGTGTGTGCATACCCATGTATATTGTGTGTCCGTGTGTACCTGTGTATGTGTGTGTATGCCTATGTGTGTAGGTGTATACCTGTGTATATTGTGTGTACTCATGTATATTGTGTGTCCGTGTGTACCTGTGTATGTGTGTGTGTCTGTGTATGTGTGTATGTGTGTGCCTGTGTGTGCATGTGTGTGCCTATGTGCTGTGTATGCATGCCCGTGTATATTGTGTGTCTGTGTGTACCTGTGTATGTGTGTGTGCCTGTATGCGTGTGCATGTGCGCCTGTATCTGTGTGTGTATGTGTGTACCTGGGTATGTGTGTGTGCCTGTATGTGTGTGCATGTGCGCCTGTATCTCTGTGTGTGTGTGTACCTGGGTATGTGTGTGCGTGTGCTAGCACGTGGCAGACATTCCATAAGCACCTGCTGAGGAAGAGGCCTGAGCTGTAACTCCGGGTCTGCATGGTCCTCGAGCGTGCTCCCCCACACGCTGACTGTGTCGCTCGTGGCTGATTGCGTTGTTTGTGTTGTTGGTCTTGACAGTTAAGAGGAAAAAGAGTTCAAAAGTGGAGGCCAGGGGCACAGTGTCCAAGGTCACGGGGAAGAAGATCACCAAGATCATCGGGCTGGGACGCAAGAAACCTTCTACCGGGGAGCAGACCTCGTCGGCCGAGGAGGATGTCCCCACCTGCGGTGAGCTCACCCCTGGGTCTCTGCACACGTGAACTGTGGGCCGTGTCAGCAGTTTGCATTGTGGTTGGTTGGTGGTGAAAGACTCTAGGGTTCGTGAAGATGCCCGAGGTTCTTTCAAGGGCAAAGCGTCTCTGTGGCCCCGTGAGTGCTCCCAGGCTCCCTTTGTTGTCCTATTTGGATGCCATCGAGTGGATTCCAACTCCTGGTGACCCCATGTGACAGAGTGGAGCCACCCCAGGGGCTTTCCTGAGCTGTAATGTTTACATGAGGAGTTGGCCAGGTCGGTCCTTCTGCAGAGCTGGTGGGTGGCTCTGAACCCCCGACCTTTTAGGTAGCAGCTGAGTGCTTAACCGTTTGTGCCACCTGCCCTCTTTGAACGCCCTTTCTGTGTTGTAAAAGCAGGACACACAGCCATGCCACTGCAGAGCCGGGAGGGAACTTAATGTTTGACAAAACATGTCTGGAACTAGGGTCCGTTCTTTCTCGTGGCTGCAGTGATACCGTTAAACCTCCCCAGATGTTACACGCCTCCCACTCGGGTTTCCCTTCAGTCAGCTGCCCATGGCACGCCTGCCCGGTGGCAGTTGTCGCCGTGAGAGAGGCTGCTCTAAGCACCAGCTGTGGTTGCGTCAGCCTGTTGCCCGGCTCTGCTTCAGCTTCAGTGGTAAATCCCCTGGTGCCTGGATGGCGGCCGAGCCATGGAGCGTGGTCACTGAAGGTGGAGACAGACCCAGCCCTCTGATCGGTGCCTGGTGCCGCTGCTGTTGGTCAGGAGTCAGCAGCAGGTCGTGCGTGTGTGTCTAGTCGGGACAGGGCCCTGCTCTCACGGAGCCTCGGTCCGGCCTGACGATGAGTGTTCAGCGAGCAGCCAGGCTTCTCAGAGCATGCAGGCTTCACAGGAGGACGAGGTTAGAAGCTGAGACGGGTGTTTACTTAAACCAGGAGAAGCCCTGGGTGGGGTGGGCCTGCATAGGTGGGGTCATCTCCCAGGGTTCCCACTGGAGTGGGAGAGCAGTGCCTGCTCTGAGTCTCAGGGTGAGCAGTGGGGTCCCCGACTCCCACACTGCTGCCTCCTCCCCCTCTATGTCCACAAGAACCCACACTCAGCCCCCACTGAAGACTGACTGTCTGCACTCATGAGGCACTGTGGCCAGCCCCGCTGCCAGGCCCGTGGACCCACAGTGGCCACTTAGGGATAGAAGCTCTCCAGCCTGCCAGAGTTCACATAGGAGTCTCCAGGGTCCCCGTGGGGTCTACACAGATCCCATGAGAGTCTCTAGCCTGTCAGCACCCCATGGGATCCCAGGATCCCCCTGGAGCCTGCAGCGTCCCCTTGGGGTCTGCCATGGTCCTATGGGGGTCTCTAGCCTGTCAGCATCCCTGTGGGATCTCCAGGGTCCCTATAGGGGTTTCCCCTCAAACTTGGTACCCAATGGACTTGACTCAGCTGCCATTACGAGAGTATCCCCTGTCCACAAAACTTAAAGCAGTTGTCCCATCCTCTGTGGGGCCAGGACAACGGGGTGGTGACCCCGCAGCTATCTGAGGGCAGCTGCCAAGTCTCAGGCGGGAGAAGCAGCTGGGCCATGCCTGGCAGCCACAGCTGAGTCGAGTCTCTGCAGCTGCTGCCCTCCGACTCCAGGGACAGGAAGCTCCGGGCCGGATGGGCCCAGGCAGCTGCTCGGTGCTCCCAGAGGCCCCAGGCAGCTGAGAGCTGAGTTCAAACCCGGCTCCTCCCTAAGGAGCAGCCTGGTCACTGTGCCGCTGCGGCACGGAGCCACCCCTGGCAGCACCTTGCTCAACTGCACGGTCCGGGAATGGCGCTGACGGCTGCCCACGTGCCTGGCCCTGCTGGTGTAAGAAACACCAGTGACGTGGCTTCCAGCAGCACGCGGGCCACTGCAGCACGCCCCGTGGGCCACAGGGTACGGCACACAGGTGAGGGCGGCCTGCTCAGCACACTCACTCCTAACAGAGTGGTCGGAGGTTGGCATCCACCCAGAGGTGGCTCGGAAAAAAGACCCGGTCACCTGCTTCTGACAGAGCAGCCATCAAAACCCTGTGGGGCACAGCTCTGTGGCACACACGGGGTCACGTCGAGTCAGGCAACTCCACGGCCACTTCCTACCATCAGGCTCCCCCAAAAAATCGGGGGCCCTTTCATCAAGGGGGCGGGGCTGCTTCGTACGAGTTCTGCAGTGTATGCGCTGTTACTGTCCACACGGCAAAGGTCGGGACGGAGGTGCTGGGCATCAGCCAGACCGGGACCGGCTATTGGCAGGACCGTGACCTCTGGTCCCCCAGTCCCCCACAGCACCCCTTGCTGCTTCTTAGGGGCCCCATCTTCTCTGGTTGTAATCCAGTGCTTGCTGAGGTCTCTCAGTGGTCCCGTCGGAGGAGACGCCCCTCAGGTGGTCACACTCAGAGAGACCTCGGCTCTGCCTAGCCACAGCCCAGCAGCATGTCTGAAGGAGAATCAATAAGTGGGCACGCAGACCTTGCTTCTAACAATAGCTTAGAATAGCTTAACCTGAGCTGCAGAGGTCCCAGTCCGAGATGGGGGGCAGCTGAGTGTCGGGGGGTTGCCCAGAAGGCTGCTTTCACAGCTCTAAGGAAGCCACCCCGCACACTCTGTGGCAGAAACCGCAGGCTGTGCTGAGAACCTGGAGCAGAAAGTGTCGGCCAGTTCAACCATGTTATGTGCGGGGTTCAGACTATCACTGCCCTATCAGCACTGCCCCTGAGACAGGCCACAGTGTGGCCATCACCTCACACGCATGTGAGGGCTGGACAACTAATAAGGAAGACCAAAGAAGAGGTGGTGGTTTTGAGCCGTGGTGCTGGCGGAGAATGCTGAAAGCAGCATGGACTGGTGAAAGAACTAACAGATCCGTCCTGGAGGAAGTGCAGCCGGAATGCTTCTTGGAAGCGAGAATGGCCAGACTTCATCTCACCTACTTTGGTCATGTTGTAAGAAGGGACCATTCCCTAGAGAAAGATATCCTGCTGGGTAAAGTGGAGTGTCAACAAAAGATGGGAAGGCGCTCAACAAGATGGACTGACACAGTGGCTACAACAATGGGCTCAGGTACATCAGTGACTATGAGGCCGGGGCAGGACGGGGCAGTGTTTCATTCTGTTGTCCACGGGGTCGCTGTGAGTCAGAGCCAACTTGATCGCACCTAACAACAACAACACTGGCTGCGGGAGGAGCTCTGTTGGCACAGTGGTTAACACATTCCAAGAGGCCAGCAGTTTGAACCCACCAGCTGCTCTACCACAGAAAGATAAGGCAGTCTGCCTCTATAAACATGATGGCCCTGGAGACCCTGTGGGCAGTTCCACTCTGTCCTCTAGGGGCGCTGTGGGTCGGAATCGACTCCACGGCAGTGGGTGTGGTCTGGGTTTTGCTTCTGTGAAGATTGACAGCCTTGGAAGCTCCATGGGGCAGTTCCACTCTGTCCTCTAGGGGCGCTGTGGGTCCGAATGGACTCCACAGCAGTGGGTGTGGTTTGGGCTTTGCTTCCGTGATGATTGACAGCCTTGGAGACCCTGTGGGCAGTTCCACTCTGTCCTCTAGGGGCGCTGTGGGTCTGAATGGACTCCACGGCAGTGGGTGTGGTTTG